CTATATTTAATTAAAGTTTGCAAAATGAAAAAATCAAAGTTAATTTTTGTTGTAGTATTAATAAGAGATAATTATAAATTTTAATATGAATTTTTAGTTAATTTTTTTCTAAATGCGAGTCAAAAAAGTGAAAGGATGTCTTCTTTGATTTTTAATTTTTTATGCAATAGGAAATATTTTTGTATATACTGCTGCTAATTGACAAACGGAAAATGGTAAAATACTTAGAACCTGTTAGGGGTTATCTAAGGTTCGAGGTTTAAGGCCGTAATTATTTTTAAAATTTTTTATTTAACTAAAATACAGGCAAACCTCTCTACGGCGGAAAGCAATTAGCCGATTCCGCCTTAGAGAGGTTTGTTAAAATGCTATTAGTGAGTATCAACCATTTTAAATCATATGATCTTTAAATATGAAATAGAAGTTTTGATCATTTATTAATAACCTTATTTAAAAACATGTATTAAAAATCATTGAATTCTTGCAAAGAATTTTGTCAAAAAATTTAAAAATAATTGAATTCCTTAGAAGAATTTTATTATTTATGAAAATAATCGAATTCTTACGAAAAATTTAATTAAAATTTATAAAAATCATCATTAAATTCTTTTGGAGAATATCTTCAAACTTTTTCAAATAAATGGAGTTTCTCTAATAGTTATAATTGAAAATTTTGAAAGTAATTGAGATATACAAAGAATTTTTTCAACTTTTTAAAATAATCGTGTCTGTTAATAATTTTAAATATTTTGATTTTTAAAGTTTATTAAAATTGTATTGAAAATAATTGAATTCCTCAGGAGAATTTTATTATTTATAAAAAATAATTTAATTTTTGCGATGAATTTTAAATATAATTATTTTTTTAAAAATTACTTTGATTTGGTTTTCTATTTATTTTATCATTTTTATGTTCATTTTTTATAATATATAAAATATATCACACAATAAACAAAAATTATAAATTAAATATAAATTATATAATTTCAATAAAAAAACATCTGTATAAAAATTACAATTTGTAACTTTTCGGCCCTGAATTTCATGGCACTCACACAGTCACAACTCTCACTGATATGAACCCTTCTACATCTACCTGGCAAGTTTCCGCCGTATAGAAGTCCGCCGTAGAGAGGTTTGCCTGTAACTACTGTTTCTATTTACCCTAACTGACCCTAAATAATATTTAATTTTTTTTATTTTTAAATACGTAAAATACGTTACTGTATTTAGAGTACCTAATATTTAAATTTGTAAATTTGAGAAAAAGATGCATTGAAATACAGTACAATCCGTTTATAATGACTCCGCTTACATTGACGAACCGCTTGAAGTGACATTATTTTGATGAAAAGTTTGGTCTTGTAACAATTTCAATGTTATTAAGTCTGCTTATAATGACATTGCTTATAGTGACATACCGCTTATATTGAAGTTTATATTGAAATATTTTAGTTAGTCACACTGCTTATAATGACGAAGCCATAATTACTTATTTGTTTTCAGATTCATTTTATTATAAAAATACTTTAGTCTTACTTTATTGACAATGCAAAAAACTCAGTTTAAACCCACAGTAACGATTAAGTTGTACGTATATGATCAATAATCTTTCGTTAGTCTTGCACAAAAATGCCTCATCATCCCAAAGCTTTCAAAATTTAGGCTCTAGATCTTAAAAGGACACTTTTACTATTTAAAATCAATGCTGTATGTGCCCTTTTATGATCTGGAGCCTCAATTGAAGAAAAAGGTGCAATTATATTAAATATATTTATATAATAATAATAATAATAATAATAATAATAATAATAATAATAATATTATTATTTATCATATTTTAGTTCGGTATACACTTTTCCTTCTTCTAACATTGAAGATAGTGACTTTAGTAAAAATAAAGGAAAATTTATAACAATTAGCCACATCTCAAGAGATATAATTTTAACAAAACTAAAGTCATTAGATGTTAATAAAGGGGCAGGACCTGACGAAATTCCCCCTTTTCTCTTGAAGTCGTGCTGCTTATCATTTGTTGAACCACTTTACATTTTATTTAATTGGTCTCTTTCTTGTGGTATCTTTCCGAACATATGGAAACGTGGTATTGTTGTTCCAGTGCATAAAGACGGAAGTAAAAAAGATGTGACCAATTAGCGTCCAATAACCTTGTTGAGTACTATTGCAAAAATATTTGAGAGTATAGTTCATGATGAACTATATGTACAGGTAGAGTCATTAATTGTTGATGAGCAGCACGGTTTCATGAGACGTAGATCGGTTTTATCAAATCTAACGATTTTTTCAACTTATGTACTTGAGAGTTTAGATAGGGGGTCACAAGTTGATGTTGTTTATACTGATTTTGCCAAAGCGTTTGACAAGATAGATCATGGCATTCTACTGGTGAAGCTCAGAGCCCTTGGTTTCTCAGAAAATTTAATTGAATGGATTGCAAGTTATCTTAAAGATAGAACACTAGTGGTCCGAGTTGAGCATGAATACTCTGATGTTTTTTTCCAAACTTCTGGAGTCCCTCAGGGTTCAAACTTGGGGCCGTTACTATTTGTTCTGTTTATAAATTATATAAATTTTGTTTTTAAATTTAGTCAGTTTCTGTTGTTTGCGGACGATTTAAAATTATATTTGTCAATAACTAATGAAAGTGATTACATGCAGTTGCAATATGATTTAAATCAGTTACAATTGTGGTGTAAGAAGAATAAACTATTTTTAAATTTGAATAAATGTAAAGTTATAACATTTTCTACCTCTTTGACACCCTTAAAGCAGAATTATATTATCGATGGTATTGTATTTTCAAGAGTGTTAACGGTTTGTGACCTTGGAATACAGATTAATAACTCATTTTCTTTCACTGACCACATTATGAATGTAATTAATAAAGCTACAAGGGTTTTGGGCTTTGTCATTAGAAATGCTAGAAACTTCCGTAACATTAGAGTATTGAGAATATTGTATTTTGCGCTTGTAAGGCCTATTCTAGAATTTGCGTCAACGTTGTGGAGGCCTTATCAGGATTATCTTATTGATAGTATTGAACGTGTACAAAATAGATTTCTTCGTTTTATGGCTAAACAAAATAATGTACCATTTAACTATTATAATCATGATTATACAACTTTGAGGGCTATGTTTAATGTTCCTTTGTTATCTCAGCGATTTTTATACGCAGATTTATTATTTATGTTCAAAGTTCTAAATGGTGTAATCAATTGTTCAAATTTGTTGAGTCTCTTCGGATTCTATGTGCCTCCTAGACCAAGTAGACATTCGCAATTATTTCTGATTCCTATTATTAGAACCGATTATCAGGGCAATTCTGTGGTAAATAGATTGCGTAAGCTGACCAATCACTATAATTCTAATATTGACTTTTTTGGTGTCTCACTAATTAAATTCATAGTGGATTTGCGAAAAACTGTATTTGATGGTAACAATGATTATGATGCAGCCAGATAATTTGATTTTATACAATATTTAGAATTATGTATACTTTAGTACTTTGTACGATTGGGCATTTATTTGTCCGTATGCTTTTTGAATAAATAAATAAATAAATAAATAATCTATAGATTGGAAAATGGAGAATCTAACTCACCACTTGCAAAAGAATTTGGTGTTGGGCATTCCACTATTTCCATGATTTCCAAGAATAAAAACAATGTTGAGAATTCATTTAATTCAAATGTTCTAAAATCGAAGCGAATTCGGAAATCAATTAGTGACTTTTTATAATAAGTTTTCAATATTTTATGAATGACAGGTGTGAATACATATTATTAAATTTGAAATGTCTTACGTGATTGTTTTACTAAAGAATTTTATATTATTCGTTTATTGTGACTACCGCTTTGTATGACAAAATTACTCTGCCCCTTCAATGTCATTATAAGCGGATTCTACTGTAGCTTAAAATAGATGCTAACACGGGAAAAAGGAACTGTAATGAGAATAATTTAAACTTAAAAATAAAGTCTTGTCTCTTTTTTTTAAAAAATATTTCAAGCATTTAATATTATAGAACATTTAATAAATTTATATTTATTTGGTCACCAGTTTCAATTGGTGCAATATTTTTTTAATAATAATCGTATATTCCTTCTTTCTGTCCACATCTTATAAAAGTTAGTCTTTTGTGCATACTTTTGTTTTTCGTCAAGTTTTTATATAGATTATATTAGTATAATATAAAACTAAAAATATTTATCTAAAATTATTTTTAATAAATAAGGACCTAAGTTGTTTTAAAATTTGTTTCTCAATAATGAGATTTAATTTTTAATGAAAATTCCGAAAGCACTTCAAGTTGAATTTTATAAGTTCTGACATCTCATTGAACTCTTTCCAGACATGTTGACTTTTTATTTTTTGTTGTTTTTTATTTGTTTTTAAATTGAACTGAAATTTTAGCATTTAAAGGAGCTCGATAATTGCAGGATGAAGGGTGGTTTCGCAACTTGTTTTTATTTTCTTAGCAATTTCCGCGACAGAGCAGAACGGAAAGCGATCTTAAAGAGAATTAGCACGCTTTAGTGTCCCGCCTACTTTACTTGTCGGAATTTCTACTCCCTACCACAGCATATTTCTTGATAAACTTGAATCTCCGACGACGAAAGAAAACAAAATAAATAAAAATGGCATTTTTTTACTTCGCCAGAATACCCTGGGAACGGTATTCTAAATTTATTAGTATAATTTTTGATCCTTTTTGGGAATATGGTCAGATTATTCTTAAAATGTTACTAGTATTTTTAAAATAAAAATAGTGTTTTCATTTTAAAGATAAGAAATAATAGTAATTTAAAAATGGAAGAAAATAAGAAAGTTAAGTACCTAAGATAAAATAACTCTTGGATTAATGTTTTACTTCAACTACTAACAATTATATTATCAATAATGAATAATGGAAAAATTAATTAATTCAATAGCGGGAAATGCTCTAAGTTCAATAACAAGAATGTTAATTATTTTTGCAGATTTTGCGTCGGTGACAGATTCTACTTGTGTGACAATAAAATACTTTGTGAATACGACTACGAGGAGAGGCTTGTCTTTGCAAATTTGGCCCTTCATCCACCGCCCAATGCAACGATGGCTCATATTAAAAGACAAGTTAGTCATCTCCAACCACCTGTAAGTTATTTAAACATCCACACGCACACAAAACATTTCTTTCCTTCAAAATTTCCAACCGAAATTCCTTTCCAAATATTATTTTTTATCGCAAAGAAGAGCTATGTTTATTTGAATGATTAATTTACTTTTGTAAAAATATTTAAATCTGGTTACAATGAAAAATAAAACTGCATTGATTACAACTTGGCCCTAAAGTGGCGTTAGTAGGGAAAAAATTGTATTTGAATTCAATTACAATTAACAATTTCAAATGGGCGTGTTTCATTACAGATTTGGAACATATGTTTCTCTTTACGGACATGATAGTAGTCCTTGATCAGACATTGCTCGCACATTACAAAAAACACACATCTTAAGATAAGTTTTTTTACAGTATTTTATAATAGGAAATAATTTATTCAGAATAAATGAAGCATTATTTCTTAACGGAGATGACGAATTTTAAACAGATAGTAATTGTTAGAAGGGTAGTCACAGCAGATTAAGCGGATTTTATGAATCTCGATTTACGAGAATTCCTGGTATTTTAGAGACATGATCAGTTTTCCTTGATGGAGAAAGAGAATGCTGAAACTTCTAAGACTCATCACGACGTAACCCCTTAAGGTGGGTTAAAGTGGCAGGTTCTGACCCTCTCGACAACAAAGGAGTCTCCAGAGGCTTCGAGCTATGCTTTACTGTACTGCCAACGTCTTACGAGTAGGATATCGCGTGTCCTTATTAATTAAGCTCGCCCACTAAGCAAGCCCTGTCGCATGCCTTAACGATCCATAGTTTCTTGATGAGCAACAGTCTTGATATAAGGCGTAAATAAGTGCAACTTTCTTAATCGCTAAAATCTCTATAAAATTAATTTACACAACTAATTTTACAATTTTGTTTATATAATTGGGGATTTATTTCTAATTCTTTATTTTCATTTTAAGGAGGAATGGGACATAGAATATGACAAAAATATGACGTTTAGAGAAAATGTATATTTTGAAATTAACGCTATGTAGAACAGTTTAAATATTAAGAAACAAAGATGGTAACTAATTATGACTGAAAAACATTAATGAGGTACATAAAAATAATATTGTTTTTAAAAGATATTAACATTTTTTATCAGTACAAAACAAAACTTTTATATAAGTGATTGTACTTAGATGTATAACCTAAGAAAATTAAAAATATTGAAAAATAAGTTCGAATCAATTAGTAAATGTGATGCACACACTCTTGAAAAATATTTCATTTGTAAAATTATAGCACATAATGAGGTATTAAAATTTTTTATTAATGTCATTATTTATTTATAAATGGTTTTAATGAGCTAAAAAACGTGACAACGTTGTAAACTATTATCTTTGTTTTTCAAACGTTGGTAGCACTGTCATGACGGAAATAGTTGTGAAAGTGAGTGAGAGAGACATATTGTACTGATGCGTATCTATAAATGGATAAATAGTAATCTTCTTTACCAACAATAATTTCTTCTTTAGAACGTTGCCATGTTTTTATGTGCAAATGTCAAAAATCTTGTGTTTTTCTACTTTTTAAATTATTTTCTTTGTTATTTAGTCTGTAAGTATATAAAAGCTTAATTATTTATTGAAGCTGACATATTGAACTTCAATATATATTTGAGACAAAAAAAGTTGACATCTGGAAATATCATTTATATGTTTGATAAGAACCGAGTATTTGATTTTTCCATAAGAGACAATGTTAAATAATTAAATTTATAACTTTTAAACTATTCCCACAAAAATTTTCAAACTCTGTGAGGTGTTTATAATATTGTTAGAAACTCATCCCCAAAATTTGAAGAGTTTCTGACATTTTTTATGTGTGTCCCATTCCTCCGCAAAAATATAAATTTTGAAGAAATATTTGCCTAATTTGTTATTACACGTATCAGCAGAAGACCAGTACTGGTATTATAATTATTTGACTGATTTATTTACAAAGCGCTAAGGAAACAAATGCTTAGATAAAATAATTTGTCCTTTATTTATTTTTGCAAATACAATTCTCGTCCAAATTGTCAGGTGAGCAGTTTTTTTCAAGATTAGATTAACTCCACAGATTTAGTCTCCCAAAATGATTTTCCTTAGTAATTATTTCAGCAAGTAAGTTTAATATTGGCAAAAGACTAGCAGATGGTTACAAAATACGCTGACCAAACTTTGGCAGAAGGTTGGCAACTTGTTGGAAATAGGTACATAGTAATTAAGGAGCACGTTTTCAAAACTTGATAAATCCATATTTTCTTATTTCGAGAAAATGAAACAAATAATGACTTTTCTCACATAACCACTAGGGGAGTTTGCTGCGAGTTGGTCACTACTGCGAGTTGGACACCCCTTGATATTTCTAGAAGGCGTAAAGTTTATCCCAGAATTAAAATTGTAAAATGTTTGCCTTATTGATAAGATATATTTATATTTGTTTAAAAAAAAATTCTTGCATTATTTAAGAATCTTATAAAAAAACATTTTTTTCGTGTAAGAATTTTTTTGAAAAGTGGAAACGACGTCTTTTAAGTGTAAATAAAAAGACTAATATTCATTGTTCAAAAAAATTTCGTACATGTATTTTTGGAGTAATTTTCATGCTCTTTAAGATTCAAAAAGAATTAGCTCCATGTATTGTTGCCAAAACTATTTTTGCAGTCTAAAAAAATACTGTCAATTCTGCGAGTTGGACACACCTTTTCGCTGCGAGTTGGTCATGATTTATATGCTGGAGATTTCTTTTGTTTTCAAGTTTAACCTATTTTATGTTTGTAAACATTGCAAAATATTTGATTCGAAATTTATAGTTTATAATGTGTAAAATACAATATATTTTATAAAATACAATATTAGAAAATTATTAGAAAATTATTAAAAAATTGGCTACATTTTGAAAGTTTTTTCAAAAATTAAATTGCCGCCTTTACAGAAGTATAGGTACGATCTCTGGCTTTTGAACAAGACTTTAAACATGTCGATATCTCAATTTAGTGAAAAGTTATAACCGAAAAACAAAACTATGTCCAACTCGCAGCAAACTCCCCTACAGTTAATTTTAAATTAAAAAATTTGTATTAATTAATTTTTATAACAATGTTTTTATATTTAAGACGTTCTGATTTTAATTAAACATTATCATAATTAAGTAATTTAAAGGTTTTGGTAATATTTCTCATAAAAAACATAAAAATTATAAGTCATATTGGTTATGTCAAAAAGTTTTTAAATTGAAAATTCGTTGTTAATAATTTTTTTTTAACATTTAACAGTGACAGGTCAATTTGTGAGGTCTTTAAAATATTAAATTTATGTTTATCTCAATTTTAAAAAAATGGATTTAACAGCTTTTGAAAATTTGCTCATCAATTCTTATTCATTACGAAGTTTTATCGTTTAATAAATCCGAAAGTGTATGGTTAGGGACAAGTAGATATTGTAAAAAATCGGATACTAAAATTGGAATAATTATTTATCTATTTAATAAATTAATGAAAAACTTTTTGGAACTGATTCATCTTATCAAGCTCTAATATTTTCAACAAAAACAAAGTTAAAAGTTATTAAAATTATTAAAATATATGCAAGGGACATGAAAGTTAAAGCTTCCATAGATATGCCCTTATATGAACTTTTAAGGGGTTTTGTAACTTTTATAGGATCTAAAATAGGAAGTTTTCAAAAAAAATGTTTCTCATAAGTTTTAAAATATAATTGATCAAAAGATTGTCCCATCAAACTTTAATTTCTGCATTTTTCCCTATAATTCTTTAATAAATGGATTATTTTTAATGTATCTCATATTTTATTCATTAAGCATTGATACTAGATTTCCATTGATATAACCGTCAGGGTTTCTACAGAACCTGCAAATCATGAAAAAGGTCTAGAAGTTTTAAAAATTTATAATTTTTTCAAGCTTTCCTTCTTTTGGTAATTTCAAAATTTTTCATAATCTTATTATTATCTTATTTTTAGCGCATGCCTTGAGGTAATAAATTTGACATTAATTTAAATACCATGAAAATTATGTTAAAAATTTTACTAGGATTTTCTAAAAAATTACCTAGAAACAGGCAAGAATTTTGAATAAGATACTATTGTGGGAATCTTGACCATCGTAAGGTGTTTCATGCTATAATATCGATGCCTGATCTGGCCCCGATTAGAGCCATGGCAAAATTTTTGCACTTGTAAGCTTGGGGTGATAGGTTACTCCAATCCCGTCAAATTCGTCTCAAAAGAATTTCATCAATATTAAGTTCAAAAATGCATCAAAAAAGGTATAAACAATAAAAATAGACGCCAAGAAAATTTTTAAATTCAAAAACTGAAAAACTACATATAAAGTTTTTTAATTAAGGAAATATTTTTGAAAAATTGCAGCAAGTTTGCTTTAAGCTTGCAACTACCTTGCAACAAATTTGTAGTAATCATTCAGAATTCTATTTTATCCATCCTATAGGTGAGATATTCAAGCTTGCAGCAATCTTTCATGTCAATCTTGCTGCATGCTTGCTGCAAGATTCCTACAATAATATCTAATTCAAAATTCCTGCCTGTATCTAGGTAATTTTTTAGAAAGTCCCAGTAAAATTTTTAACATAATTTTCATGGTATTTAAATTAATGTCAAATTTATTACCTCAAGGTATGCGCTAAAAATAAGATAATAATAAAGATTATAAAAAATTTTGAAATTACCAAAAAAAGGAAAGCTTGAAAAATTTATAAATTTTTAAAACTTCTTGACCTTTTTCATGATTTGCAGGTACTGTAGAAACCCTGACGGTTATATCAATGAAAATCCAGTATCAATGCTTAGTGAATAAAATATGAGATCAATTAATAATAATCTATTTATTAAAGAATTACAGGGAAAAAATGCAGAAATTGAAGTTTGATGGGACAATCTTTTGATCAATTATATTTTAAAACTTATGAGAAACATTTTTTTTTGAAAACTTCCTATTTTAGATCCTATAAAAGTTACAAAACCCCT